TGCATCTGCCACGTGTCCAACTCCTTTGGTGAGGTGTCTGTCAAGGTCTTTGGCCCATTACTTGTTTTCTTGTTGAGTGTCAAGAGTTCCTTGCATATTTATCAGATGTGTCTTCTTTTTCCAGTTTTATTGAGAAATACATACATCCCGGTATGCTGACGGTGCACAGCATGCTGGTTTGGTTTACTGCACCATGAAATGATCACAACAACGGAGACATGCTGGAGGGTTGGCCTGTTCCCTGCAGCCCCTGCGGTTCAGTATGGAGTCTCCTGGCCAGACTGTGCTTTGGTGGGTGTGCAGGACCTCCCTGAACAGGACGAGGGGGCGGGCGGGAAGGTCAGGGAAGAGGTGATGAAGGATGACCGAGGGGAGACAGGATGGACAGGTGCCTCATGGCACCTCATAAGGAGTGTAGGGTCTTGGGAAGGTTCCTCAGTGTGGGCTAGAGAGAGGACTCTTCCATTCCATCACAGATAAGCATGGAGCACCTAGTTTAGAGACTTGGAGGCAAATGCAAAGGAGAGAGTAGCTAAAAAAAAAGCAAAAAAACCCAAAGCACCCCATCACAATGATCACCTCAAAGAGGCAGGACAAGGCACTGCTCTTTCAGGACGATTTAAGTGTGTGCGTGTTGCATCTTAATAGCAGAATTAATATAAAAAAGATGCAAGCCATTTCTAGGGGCTGGTCAATGTATTCTCAACTAGTTAATTTTATGAGGAATGATTTTTAGAACGATTTAGGTTCACAGCACAAGTGAGGAGAAAGTACCGAGGTCTCCCGTATACCCCGACTTCCACAAACACATGGCCTTCCCCGTTATCAACACTCCCCACCAGAGTGCTGTGTTTGTGACCTTGGATGAACCTACTTTGGCACATCATCACCAAGACTCTGTAGGACCACATTAGGGTCCCTTCTTGGTGTTGGACATTGTGTGAGTTTGGACAAATGTGTATTTTTAAAATAAATATTTTATTTATTTGAGGGAGAGCATGAGAGAGAGAGAGTGCACAAGCGGGGCAGGGGAGGGGCAGAGGAAGAGGGAGAAGCAGGCTCCTCATTGAACAGGGAGCCTGATGTGGGGCTCAATCCCAGGACCCTGGGATCATGACCTGAGCCCAAGGCAGACGCTTAAGCAACTGAGCCACCCATGCGCCCTGGACAAAAGTGTGTTAACAAGTATCCATCATTATAGTATCACACGGAGTGGTTTCACTGCCCTAAAAATCTCCTGTGTTCTGCCTATTCATCCCTCCCTCTCCCCTAGCCCCTGATCTTTTTACTGTCTCCATGGTTTTGCCTTTTCCAGATGTCCAATAGTCAGAATCATTAGAGCCTTTTCAGATTGGCTTTTCACTGAAATGCGTATCATCCATGTCTTCATGGTTTGATAGCTCATTTCTAGTTCTGAATAATATTCCATTGTCTGCATGGACCACACTTTATCAGTTCACCTACTGAAGGATATCGTGGTTGCTTCCAAGTTCTGGCAATTACGAATAAAGCCGCTATCGATACCCATGGGAAGGTTTTTGTGCAGATGTAAGTGTTCAGCTTTAGGTAAATATCGAGTGTAGGTGCTGGATTGTATGGCAGGAATATGTTCAGTTTTATAAGACACTGCCCAACTGTCTTCCAAACTGGCCTTACCACGATGCATTCCACCAGCAACAAGTGAGAGTTCCTGCAGCTGCACATCCTCCCGACATCTGGTGTTGTCAGGATTTGGGTAGGTGTGCGGTGGTATCTCACTGTTTTGATTTGTATCACCCTGATGATACGTGGCTCCGAGTGTCTTTTCACATGTGCATCTGCCACGTGTCCAACTCCTTTGGTGAGGTGTCTGTCAAGGTCTTTGGCCCATTACTTGTTTTCTTGTTGAGTGTCAAGAGTTCCTTGCATATTTATCAGATGTGTCTTCTTTTTCCAGTTTTATTGAGAAATACATACATCTCGGTATGCTGACGGTGCACAGCATGCTGGTTTGGTTTACTGCACCATGAAATGATCACAACAGATATAGTGAACACCCGTCATCTCGTGGAGATACCCTGCCATGTCTTTTGCAAATATTTTCTGCCAGGCTGTGGCTTATCTTCTCACTCTCTTCATAGTTAATGTATCTTTTAACTTCACACAACCCAGAAAGGAGAACAAAGAAACAAGCAGCACTTTGGGGAGGAAAGTTCCCAAAGGTGCAGCAGTTAAAGAAAGCTCAAGTCCCCGAATGGGGGGGCCACCTGAGCTGTGTGGGGCAGCCAGCTTCAGTGGCCCTTTTTGGATGGTTGCTCCTTTCAGAGAAGAGCCCTAGTGTCCCAGCAGTCCGGCCCATGGGGCAGTCTGCAGCTGCCGTCGCTGTGGGTCACAGCGTGGCCTGATAAAATGGTGCAGGAAAGCAGACAGGGTCAGGGACTCGGTGCTGGAGTTTCTGGCTAATGGGAGTTTAGCTTCAAGCCGTGGGTCCTTGGAACCTGGACCTGATGATCTTCCTATGGGACAGGCCCCAGGAATCTGCATTCTCAAATCCCCATTCCACCGCCCCTCATATACCTGAGACCCTATCAGGTGAACTCAGGAGAAGCTGGCTGTCAACAGGGTGCCCCATCCTCGACTGTATTTGCCCACAGAGAAGGGCCCAGATGTCATTTCCAGGTCCCAACCGTGTAGAAGGCTCTGGAGTCACCCCACAGCAGAGGCCAGTCTGTGCCCACCCCCACCCCCATCACAGGCAATCAGTTTACCGAACATGCAAAAGAAAAATAATTATTTAATTTAAAATAGCAAGACTTTGGCTTTGACCCAAGATGGTCAGGGTTTCGATGCAGTTTTGCACACGCCAAAAAGACCGACCTCACGCTGTTGTTATGCCACAGCAGGAAGTCTGTAAAAATGTTTCTTGTACAATGTTTCTTCTTGTCCTGTACGTAAGAGGAGCTCTGTGTGCACCCTTAACCCCAGGCCAAATAATACTCTTTATTCAAAGACAAAACACACAAACATAAAGAACTCAGAAGCACAGAGAGGCAGAAAGCACCTGGTAAGCCTGACTCAAAGACCAAGGTTCAGAAAGTGCCTGAGAGGGCAGGGCTCTGGGCTTAGGACACCCGGATGAAGCTGTAGCACCTGTCCTGAGCTAAGTCATACCTCTCCTGAGCCCCTACTCCCTCTGTTGGCCCTTCCTGACCGTGGCCTGCTAGAGGGTGCCCAGGTCTGGCCAGTCCTGAAGGAGCCACCCCGGGCAGGCAGCCAGCACTGCAGTCTAAGCCAAGGACTCTGGGGTCCCCTTCCGAGCAGGCTTTATTCTTACCTCATCCTCTGTGGCCCACAGGCTAACTCAGCTCTGAGCCATTTTCTTTCTTGCAGCAAGCAACTTCCTGAATTGTCTGCTCCATTCTAGAAGCTAAGGTGAGGGTCTTTACCAGCTACGTGCCCATGATCTGCCGTACTGTCTCTAGGGGATCCCTGGATGCCCCTTACATTGTCCATTTCTGTATGGAGATTGCCCTACTGACAAGTAGCTTTCTGGAGGGTAGCCCAGGGTTTACGGTGAGTCCTAAGGGGATGATCGCCTCTTGCTGATTTTCATAAAGAAAACTTCAAAAAAAAAAAAAAAAAGGAAACTGAAAATGAGCATTTTGGATCTAGTTCTGTCAATGGCTCTTTCTTTCAGATTCTCTTCCTGTGACAGATTACGCTTTTGAGAATAAAATGGGAATCAACAGTATGGTGAGGCTTCGGTTTTAATCCAGAACCGTCTTATTAGAGGTTCAGAGGATCATTTCGGTTTTGCAGCGTTCTGACTGAACTCAAGGGAGGGACGCCGATAGGCTAAAGTTGAACTCTCCCTCCCCAAGCCTCCTGTGGTGGCGCTGACACTTGCCACCTTAGCCAGTGGCTTCTGTGACTTAACAGAGAAACGGTTTTCTGAAATAACAGGAAAATGTCAGTGGAAGAGCCACGGTTATAGAGATACGGATGCTCGTTTTCGATCCTTCTCCTTTAAATGTAAATAATCACCCCATGATGCATGTGTCATTTCCCCGAACCAACTCCCCAAAGCTTCACCTTCAGGGAGGAATCTGTTATTTGGATCATTCACCAACTCTCTGGTCACCTTTTCTACAAAAAACTAAGCTGGGAGTGATTCCGCCGGATCCCTACCAGCTCTCCCCAATCCAGTCTTCCAGAGAACAGACCCGAGACGCAGCGGACGTCCGCTGGGATTCCCTGCAATGCCTCTTCTTGTCCCTGTTTCAGCTCTCACACGGGAGGAGGGAACCTGCATTTTAAAGTGACTGGTGAAGGCAGGCAGGAGTCTGGGTTCTGGCCTGGGCTTGAAATTCAAGCACAATCTTCATCGAGGGTTGGCAACCCATAGAGAGAACCTAGGAGGTCCCGAGGAGACCAGCTGCCCGGACACCTCACGGGAACCTTCCACCTGGTGAAAGGGAACCGGCTCTTGTGCTGACCAGCAAAGCTATCCGAGAAAAGCTGGGTTCTCCCGGAAATCTCAATGCCCTGACAAACCAAAAATTGGCTTTATGATATCTAAGTGGGGGACGCATCCCTGGTAACCCCTGGCATTTTATTTAGGACAGGTGCTTGGTATACATATATACCTCTTTGTGCTTTTCCCCCAGGTGTGGGTCCCTTGAATTGTGAACAGTGCTGTGTGGTCGCGAGGCCCACGAGCAGCGGACCACGAGGCAACTGACGGCAATCACGTACCGATCTCACCGCCGACCCCACGCAGGCAAGTGCCCCTGCGTGCAGTAGGACACGGGTAATTGGTGGGAGTGCGATGTGCCACCTGAGGGTCTAGGAGGTAGAAGCAGCTGGGTTTGTGGTGGCTCCCCCACAGGGGGGTGAAGGGCTTCAAAAGCAGAAGGCCTCAAGTACCAGCAGACGCCCACCCCCACTTCCTGCAGCAAGGACTCCCAAAAGCACCTGTCCCCAGGTAGGCAGCACCTGTGCACCGAACTGCGAAGGGAAAAGCTCAGGTGCTTGGAAGTTCATCTGGGGTGCGTCTGGACCCCTGAGGTTCTCCTGTCTTGGAGGGTGCGGCAGGAGCCTTGGGAGGGCCAGCCGGGCTCTCAGCACGCGGCTGGGAAGAGCAGCAGATGGAGAAGAGCCGAGTTCGGACGGCCTGGGTGCAGAGGACGAACATGATGCAATTGGCACCGCCCTGAAATGTGTTCCCAATACCCTGTCCGGGAGGAAAAGAGGCATGAGTGCCAGGGCTGGAGGGGGTCTCTCTCTCTCTCTCTCTCTCTCTGCTGGAGGGGGTCTCTCTCTCTCTCGCTCACTCTCTCTCTCTGCTGGAGGGGGTCTCTCTCTCTCTCTCTCTCTCCCTCCCTCTCTCTCTCTCTGCTGGAGGGGGTCTCTCTCTCTCTCTCTCTCTCTCTCTCTCTCTCACACACACACACACACACACACACACACACACAGACTGGAAAGCGCTGCAGACCCCAGAATCCTGTCCTCCGCCCCGCTGAGGCTGGTCTGCAACCCCCTATCTGGAGGCCTTCTGGATTGGGAAGGACAGAATCACTCCCAAAGCCACCAGAGAGTCCCCCAATGTCCCTGGGCTGCACCCACTCTTCCAGGGGGGCGGGGGAAGGCGTCCGACCCTGCGCCAGAGCAGCAAGGGCCGGGGAGGGCAGGCCCACATACATGCAGAACGACCAGCACTGGCGACTGCACGGCCGGGGAGCCACAGAGGGTCAGCACGAATCGCACGGTGCTCCAGACCCGGAGGCAGATGAAGGTGAGCGGGATGAGCATCAGCTTCTTGTCGGCCACGGAGGCCTGGTGCTGTGGCCGGTGAGCCTCGGAGAGGATGGGCCGGTACTCCGACAGCGCCTCGTGCTGTGCAGGGCACGGGGAACAGGTGTGAGGGAGGCGGGCTGCCGTGCCACCCTCAGTCCGCGGGGTGCCGCGCATCTCCCCGCGGGGGTCTAAGACGCGGCTGACAGCTCTCACGTCAGGAGCACCGTGCCGCATCCCAACCCCCGAGCCTAGCGCGCACGTCCCCACCTCGGCTAACGCGCCGGCATCCTAGCAGGTGCCCGGGCCAGAAACCCTCTCCTGTTGCTGCCGCCCCACGTCCCCTCCGTGGGCAAGTCCTGCGGGCTTCCCCTTCAAAAGAGATCCAGAATCTGGATGCCCCACCCACTGCCACGGCCACCAGCCCGGTCCGAGTGCCATCACCACCCCTCCGGGCAGTTGCAACTCTCTCACCTGTCTCCCTCCATCACCCTCACTATCCAAACTCCTCCCCACTGCAGTCCTATTCTAGGCCCAGAAGCAGCGCGGTTCCTTGAAAACCTAAGTCAGGTTCAGTTCTACTTGAAGGTCTCGGATTCCAGTCTAGCTCTGACCTCATGCTTACTGCTTTCACCTGATTTACTCCAGTCACACAGGCCTCCCTAAGTCCCCAAACATATTCCCCAGGCACACCCTACCACAGGGCCTTTGCACAAGCCGTTCCCTCTGGAGTGTTGTTTCCCATCTGCCCAGAGGCTCACTCCCTCACCCTCTTCACGCCTCCGCTCAATGTCAGCCCCTGGAGGAGGCCTATCCTGACAACCCCTTTTCAAGTGCACAGGCATTTCCCGGGTAGTCCTGTCCCCCGATTCAGCTCTTTATTTTTGCCTGGTTTTTTGTAGCTCTTACCTTCCTCCTTCCTAGATGTCATTCATCCTTATTTATCAGGTCTGTTACTTCTTATCATCCTGCCCTCCCCCTCCAGAATGCAAGCTCCCCCAGGGCAAAGACCTATGAAGGAGGGGCTCCATCCAAAGCTGGGGCAGAAAGAAAAGGTGAGGAGGCACAGGCTTTGGGCTTCCCTACTCCTGGGAACACCCTTCAGTGAGAGGAAGAGGGTAGCTCCATTTCCAGATCACAACTGAATTTGTTAAAATAGATGCAGGGGCGCCTGGGTGGCTCAGGTGGTTAGGTGCCTGCCTTCAGCTCAGGTCATGATCCCAGGGTCCTGGGATCGAGCCCTGCATCGTGCTCCCTGCTCACTGGGGAGCCTGCTTCTCTTTCTCCTCCCTGCTCTTGCTATCTCTGTCTCTCTCTCAAATAAATAAAATGTTAAAAAATAGATGTAACTACTCATAACAAAGACTTGTTTCTGAGCGTGGTCCTGTGTCCGGGACACTGACAGCCCAGGTGAGGGGAAAAGCCACACACCCTGGCATCTCTGAGCACCCAGGCTGCTGCACCTCACCTGCTCAGAGCACCTGCTTCCTCCCTTCCTCCCCTGGGGCTTAGAGCAGCCTGGCAGGGGTGGGGTGGGGGCAGGGGAGGAGCAGGGCAGCTGTCTTCTTTGGAAAGTTCGCTCCAGTTCACTTATTTTTCTTTTTTTAAGATTTTATTTTTGGGGCGCCTGGGTGCTTCAGTCAGCTAAGCATCTGCCTTCGGCTCTGGTCATGGTCCCAGGGTCCTGGGATCGAGCCCCGCATTGGGCTCCCTGCTCAGCAGGAAACCTGCTTCTCCCTCTCCCACTCCCCCTGCTTATGTTCCCTCTCTCGCTGTGTCTCTCTGTCAAAATAAATAAAAATATTTTATTTTTATTTATTTTGACAGAGAGAGAGTGTGCATGAGCAGGGGAGGGGAGGAGCAGAGGGGAAGGGAGAGAGAAGCTGAAGTAGACTGTGCTCAGCGCTGAGGCTGACTCGGGGCTTGATCCCACAATCCCCTCTTTTCCCCGGGGGGATCATGACCTGAGCAGAAACCAAGAGTCCAACACTTAACCAACTGAGCCTCCCAGGCCACCACCCCCCCCCCCCGGCTGACAGGGAACAACCCCTATACCTCCCTGCCCACTATTCTTCCTGTTTTCTGGAAAACACCAGCAGAGTCGTTAGAGAAGACCAGTTCTCCCATGGGGGGTTGGCCTCCCAGGCACGGCCCCAGGTTCCCAGCCAAAGGCAAGGAAGAAGAGAGGCACACAGAGGGGCAGCCTGGGGGTCTTCCTCAAAGAGTCCAGAAACTTCCCCGGGAAAAAAAGGACCCAAGAAGGGGTGCCCCCGGCCCAGGCAGGAGACCAGCAAGAAGACGGATTTCAGGCCAATCAGTAAACCCCACGGGATCAGAAGAGGGTGGCAGGCAGGTGGGGAGGCAGTGGAGTCTTAGTGAAAAGAGAACCCGAAGTCTAGACTCACAAGCCACAGCGGGGAGCACCCACAGCTGCGGGGAGCACCCTACAAACTCGGAAACGGCTGCCATATCACAGTACACCCCAAAAGACCAAAGATGGGGGACACATGCCCCTGCAGTTTCAGCCCCTGAGAAATGGGGCAAAGAGCCCCGAACAGCACAGCCGCAGAGCCCCTGGGCCTGGGCTCGGACGCCCCCGCAGCGCCCCACCGCGGCCCCCCAGCCGCGCGGCGCCTCGGCCTGCAGAGCCCGTAGTGCAGGACAAGGAAGGATGTCCTCAGAGGAAAACCTTTCTTGCCTGGAATGTCCAGCCAGCCCAGCTCTCGCTCTCCGAGCTCCCAAGACCCTGAAGAGTCTCCATGTGTGACACACTCTCAACGACCACCGGTAACGTGGTGAGGCATCCGCGTCACCGAGGACGAAAGCCCACGCGTCTTCCAGGGGCCTCGCAGTTCCATTACCCAGATGCGGCTTCCTGGCGCCTGCACTCCCCTCGACATGGAGCAACCCTGGGGGCCTGCCAGGAGGGGGCAGTAGAGGCCTGTGCCCAGATCCCAGGCTGGGCGCTTGCCTCCTGGACTCCACACACTGTGGCTTGGGCCTCTGGGGCTGGGCGAGTCCGGGGAGCCCCTTAGCCTCTGCCAGCTTCTATTTCCTTGTCCACAACGGAGGACTGATGGGACCCACTCCGTCCAGGGCCGCATAATTAGCAAACCCGGACGCCCAGGCTGCCAGGGTGCAGTGGCCACACAGAGCTGTGGTTGGGGGGCCTGGGGAGGGGCGCCCGCAGGTACCTACCGCCCTGTTTATGTGCTTCCTGATAAGGCAGTAGATCACGGGCAGCGTGACGTAGGCCAGCATCTCCCAGAGCTTCCCGGTCAGCAGCATCCACAGGATGCGGTCCTCCGCCTCCAGGTCAATCCAGCACCAGCCGACTGACACGTCCGAGGCGTCATAACCAATCTTCTTCAGGGCGACAGCTGCCACCGTGATGGCCAGCGGGACCCCCCAGCTGAGGAACAACAGGCAAACGAGACAGCCAAGGTCAGGCCCTGCTCCCAGCGAGGCCAGAAGGGGCAAAGCCAGGGACGCTCGGCGGACAGAACGGTGCTCCCGAACCCTGGACCACACAGCAGCCCCGCACAAAGCGGGGCAGGAGTGCTCAACTCCCCCCACCCGCGCCCGCTCCTCCCCCGCCCCGCCAGGCCCACCCTAATGTTGCAGAGCACAGGGAATGTCCCCGCCTCCTGCCTGGTCCGACGCAACCCCCAGGCCCTCAGAGGCCAGGTTCTAATTCAGAATTGCTGGGCTCCCATCAAAAGGAATGAGATCTTGCCATTTGCAACGACGTGGATGGAACTGGAGGGTGTTATGCTGAGTGAAATAAGTCAATCAGAGAAAGACATGTATCATATGACCTCACTGATATGAGGAATTCTTACTCTCAGGAAACAAACTGAGGGTTGCTGGAGTGGAGGGGAGTGGGAGGGATGGGGTGGCTGGGTGATAGACATTGGGGAGGGTATGTGCTATGGTGAGCGCTGTGAATTGTGCAAGACTGTTGAATCACGGATCTGTACTTCTGAAACAAATAATACAATATATGTTAAAAAAAAAAAAAGATAGCAGGAGGGGAAGAATGAATGGGGGTAAATCGGAGGGGGAGACGAACCATGAGAGACGATGGACTCTGAAAAACAAACTGAGGGTTCTAGAGGGGAGGGGGGTGGGGGGATGGGTTAGCCTGGTGATGGGTATTAAAGAGGGCACGTTCTGCGTGGAGCACTGGGTGTTATGCACAAACAATGAATCATGGAACACTACATCAAAAACTAATGATGTAATGCATGGTGATTAACATAATAAAACATTTTAAAAAAAAGAATTGCTGGGCTCCTTGCAGGTGGGCGCGAGAGCGCTGTGGGGAGGGCAGCCCCTTCCTGCCCCCAGAGTGGCCTGCATGCCACGTGCCCGCGCCTCGCCCACACAGCCCCCTTGGCCGCATGGGTCTCAGGGTACACACACTGGCAGCAGGATCTAGAAGGGCGACCAGGGGCTTGGGCAGACACCTCTCTCCGGACCTGAGGCCTCTCTGCTCTATGGGAAGGGGGTATTCCCTGCAGAGGTCAAAGGCGGGCCTCTGAAGCATCAGGCCTGGGGCACGGGCCTCCACTTAGGGCAGTGCCAGGCTGACTTTTTGAGAGCTCCCCCCGATGGCAACACGGCCAGATGAGGGCCAAGCCCCAAGGGGCTTCCTGGGATCCCCGCACCAGTCTGCTTGTGAAGCATTTTACACGGGCCAGGGGGACACACAGAGGCTTCGTGGTGGCACCGTGAGGTGGCTCTGAGCTTGGCCTGCCCGGCAAGGAGCAGGGTCCAAGTTGACCCCCACTCGGCCTCCACACGCCAGTGTTTTTCTCCGCACAGTGGGGACTGGAGCGGCGCCTAGAGCAGAGTAGGTCATTATGAGAATAAACCGAGTGGAGTATGCCTGGCACACAGGACTGGGTAAGTGTGTCAGTGGGTCTGACCGCTGTCATGAGTCGTGTCCGACATCCCAGGATTCCGGCCCATAGGGCAGGTGCCAGGAAAGTGCGAGGCCCATGCGATCTCTGCCCCTGGGAGAGCGCACACAGGCCTATGGCCCAGGTCAGTCGCTGGAGGATGGAGCCGTGTATAAACAGGACCCTGTCATCAGTTAAACGCTCAGCTCAGAAATCAGTTATATGTTGAGAGCTCTGTGTAAGCAACAGTAGCTTTTTTTAAGTTTATTTTTACTTATTTACTTAAGGAATCTCTACACCCAACGTGGGGCTCAAACTCACAACCCCGAGATCAAGAGTCGCATGCCCTTCTGACTGAGCCAGCCAGGAGCAGCTCTTTTTGAGAGAAAGTTCTAGAACAATGATGAGACCATAGCTGCATGTTAGTCTTGCCAAAACGAGAAGTGCTGTGTTCAATCAGGTTCTCCAAATACTGCAGGGCTGTGGAGGACGGAAGGGAGAAAGCCAGCTCCCCGGGGCCTGGGAAGGACTCTGCGTTGGGCACTTTCAGAACGGAGGTGCCTGTTCAACCCACCCACTCTTCCCATACTGGCCTCTGGGTGCCCAGACAGGAGCATGAGCGCAGAGCCACCTGCACCCTCAGCATCTGCTCTCCCCACAGCGGGGAGGGAAGGGGAGGCGGGAAGCAGCCTGTCCTCCTTGAGGTCACAAAGGCACAGAAGGGACAAAAAACCCACAGGAGTTAAAGGGTTAAGAGAAAGGGACTGGGCGCCTGGGTGGCTCAGTTGGTTAAGCGACTGCCTTCGGCTCAGATCATGATCCTGGAGTCCTGGGATCGAGTCCCACATCGGGCTCCCTGCTCAGCGGGGAGTCTGCTTCTCCCTCTGACCCTCTTCCCTCTCGTGCTCTCTCTCATTCTCTCTCTCTCAAATAAATAAATAAAATCTTTAAAAAAAAAAAAAAAGAAAGGGACCAAGTTAACCCCAGGAGTCTGTCCATTCTAAATGCTTGTTCAATCGGTTACTCATTTGTGAAGCATATTATAGATGATTGTCAAACTGTTTTGTCATAATACAGGGTTACCACTTAAAAACTCATGCCGTCCTGGGATCTGGAGACAACATGTCACAGTTATGAGCTCCGTGAGGGTAGGTGCACTGCGCTTTCCAGCATCCAGAACAGCGCCTGGTGCCTGGTAGGGGCAAAACAAGGACCTGCTGATGAATGCACGAAGTTTGAGGCAAGTGATGAAACAACTTTCCCCCATCTACTCCTTAACTATTCACGGCAAGGACATCACTGTCATTGAAAAGGAAAACTGCAATCCCGAAGTTAGTTCTGTTGTTGTTCATCGCTTCATGGCCCACCGGAATAAGCCTGGTGTGTAGGGCGCATCACCCTGCAGGGGGCTGGGCAGGAGCGGAGGGGTGCCCTCGGGACCGGAAGGATGCGTGCAGGACAGACATGCAGGAGGAAGGGACACACTCACAGGCAGGGTGATTTCTCCTTCCTCAGTATCCTGACGGCCCTCGCAGGAGACCTGGGCCCAACCCAGAGACAGGTGTTCTATGACTTTAGGCTCATCATAAGAAAGCTACAGGGTGATGCATTTCCTCTGTATGACTGGGGTGCACCTGGAGCTAAGTTTGTGTTGGGAAATAGCCGGAGAGAAGACCCAACAGGCAGAGGGCTTTCACGGGTTAAGAATGTGGGTTGATCAATCAGAGTCACTGTCTGAGTCTAAGCACAGATGGCCAGAAGTGGCAGGAGAGGTATTTAAGTGGGAGGTGGTAAGAAGAAGTAATAACAGGGAGGGGTAGGAATGGAGTGGGAGGGATCGAGAGTCTAACGACCCAGCGAAGCAGGCTCTACCAGACTTGTAATTTGTGGGTCTGGGCCATGCTGTGCTGGTTACGTTTAACAGCTGGCTCTGCACACAAAAGTATTGGTACGTGTGTGCGTGTGCTTGCACACATACATTTATTGTTACTTTAACTGATATGAGAGATGTGAGGCACACAACCTGCAAGTAATAACGCAACACACTATGATCCTTGTGGGGAATTCCATATAGCCAGTTGAGCCCCACAGAATGTGTTGGTTGATTTTTGCCAACACGCTATGGTTGCAGTTGGCAAATGAAAGTAGTTTCAGGGCGTGAAGTTGGTTGTGTTTTCATTTTCCTTCACACGTTAAGAAGAATGTGAAGAAAGGAAGACCTAAGGGACAAGACAAATGGTGACCAGGGAGCGACTTCCTTGTGGGAGCAAATATTAATTTCCCAGCCCTGGAAGAGTATTCCTTCTATTTTTTTTTTCAGCTCTATGATACCACCTCTTCTCACCCCCTTAAATACCCGGCTTCCTGCCTACCCCAATGTGGGTACCACCTTTGCTGAAGTTCACACAAGGAGCACTTTTAAGTATAGTCTTTCCTATTGACATTTCCTCCATCACCTTCTTAGGTCCAGCAAACTACGGCCCTCAGGTCAAATCTGGCTGGAGGTCTGCCTTTCTGCTTTCTTAAATAAAGTTTTATTGCAACACAGCCTCGTTTACACTCACTCCTCTACATATTGTTTAGGCCTGCTTTCAGGCTACAAGGGCAATAGTTGCAACTGAGATTAGACGGCCTATGAAGCTAAAAAACCTACAATCTGTGTAGGGTTTGTTTGGGGGAAAGTTTGCTGACCTCTTCTCTACCCAATCAACAAAACAACAAACCAAGCCCTGATCTGTAGTGTCTGCCATTTTCCACGGAGCAAATATTCCCACTGTAACTAATTTCAAGCCATCAACACATGTGGTTGGAGACAGATGTGCAGTATTTCTGACAGTACTTCCATCGGGCAGATAAAATAGTTGTAAATAACCCCAAGTACACAGATAACAGTAAAATAATTAAGATGTAATTTTTAGTGGGGCGCCTGTGTGGCTCAGTCGGTTAAGCATCTGACTTCAGCTCAGATCATGATCTCGGGGTCTTGGGATCAAGCCCAGTGTCGGGGAGCGGGGGGGCGGTCCACACTCAGTGGGGAGCCTACTTGTTCTTCTCCCTCTGCCTCTGCCCCCTGCTCAGCCTCTCGCGCTCTCTCTCTCTCAAATAAATAAAATCTTTAAAAAAAAAAAAAAGAAAGATGTAGGGGCGCCAGGGTGGCTCAGTCGTTAAGCGTCTGCCTTCGGCTCAGGTCATGATCCCAGCCCCGCATCGGGCTCCCTGCTCCGCGGGAAGCCTGCTTCTCCTTCTCCCACTCCCCCTGCTTGGGTTCCCTCTCTTGCTGTGTCTCTCTCTGTCAAATAAATAAATAAAATCTTAAAAATAAAAAATAAAAAAAGATGTAGTTTTAGTACTTTTATTACTCTTTTTTTTTTTAAGATTTTTATTTATTTATTTGACAGAGACACAGCAGAAGAGGGAACACAAGCAGGGGGAGTGGGAGAGGGAGAAGCAGGCTTCCCGCGGAGCAGGGAGCCCGATGCGGGGCTCGATCCCAGGACCCTGGGATCAT